AAAAAAAAATTACTTAGTACCATCTATTTTTAAATACTTATATTCATAAGAGAATACTCCAGACTCCTTTCAACTAACCAGAGGAAAACTCCTGAAAACAGAAAAGCGCCCCCAGTTACATCTAACTATTGCTGTCTTTGGTGAGACACATCACTTAAATCCACTGCCGCTGAGTTACCATTGACAGAGACACTATGTTGTTGTTGGTGTTAAGTGCCTTCGAGTTAGCTCTGCCCCATAGCGACCCTGTACAGGATTTCCAAGGAGCAGCTGATCAGCTTAAACTACCGACCTTGCAGTTCAAACTGACTTTGCTACCTAGCACATTAACTCCCAGCATCACAGCAGAGACACTGTAGGACAGAGCAAAGCTGCCCTATACGGTGGTTTTCAAGGCTATACTCTTTAGGGGGTGGAGTCCTGGTGTGGTTCTGTAGCCTAGGCACTGAACTGCTAATCTCAGAGTCATTGGTTCACACCTTCCAGCTGCACCTCAGAAAGCCTAGTTGCTATGAGTCAGAACTGACCCAACAGCACTTAACAACAAGTCTATAGGGGACAAGCCCTGGTGGCACAGTGGGATAAATGTGGGGCTGCTAACCCAACGGAAGTTTGAATGCACCAGCTGCTCCACAGGTGAAACACAGGGTAATTTTACTTTGTTCTCTCGGGTCACTAAGAGTTGAAGTTGCCACAGTAGCAGTGGGAATCTTTAGGAAAGCAGACTCTGACATCTTTCTCCTGTGGAGTGGTGGGTGGGTTTGAACTGCCAATCTTTTGATTAGATTAGTATCAAGTACTTAACTACTGTAGTACCAGGGCTCCTTGAAAGAGACTAATACTACCAGGTGTTGTTGTTGTTGTTGTAGGTAAGTACCGTGGAGTCGGTTCCAACTCATAGTGACCCTGCACAAGGTTTCTGAGGCTATAAATCTTTACGAGAGCAGAACACCTCATCTTTCTCCCACGGAATTGCTGGTAGTTTCGAACTGCTGACCTTGAGGTTGGCAGCCCGACTCGTAACCACTACACTACCAGAGCTCCTACTACCAGGTAAAGACCCTCTAGAAAGGAAAGGACTTGAGTCAAAGAGGGACCCTAGCAATGAGCATGTAGCAGATTGGTTCCCTGGGAAAGTATAAAGGGGAAAGAGGCTATGGGATGTATCTTGAGGTTGGGAGTCTCAGGTACTCCTGGATGGTAAGAGGTTGACCTCTCCACACATGAACTTTTTAATCTTTTGGATAAAGGTGTTTTTCAGAGAAAGTTATGAAGGTATTCCCTTCCTTTATCTCTTTCTCACTTTAGAATTTCTTAATCTGAACAAAAAGATAGTTAATTGGAGGATAGCAGAAATACTTTGAAACTTTGTCCCACGGAGGCATTAGATGACTCCCCTTAAAGCATCACAAACAAGGTTCAAGAGACTGTGCCATGAAGCAACGTGAAATAAGAATGAGCTACAAATCATGACACTCTTTGGTTCTACCCTTAGTGGTTTCTTGTTCAAATCTCTCTTTTCTGAGCATATTTAGTTATAAAATAAGAGGGTTTCAACAAATATTGCATTAAGCTTTTACACTAACTTCTAAAATTCAAAAGAAGGATGGTTTCCACATGCACACTAGTTTATTTTGGGGGATGCTGGTAGATATTCTGTCACCTACTGGTCACACATCAGGGTTTGTAATTGGGGGACCAAGAAAACCTGTTACACCACTGTCCACCTATTCTTAAGGAGGCTCCATTTTGGGAACTGTGGTTTTATACTAGGGGTCAGATGTCAACAACTGCAATAGAGGAGAAAACAACATGTGCTGCGTGGTTGTTAACTGACAGGGACTGTGCTTCTCAGAGTCTCTCTGGGGACATGGATGCATGCCTTACTTCCAATAAGTTAATGTTAGAGGTCTTCCCCTAGTAAGCCAGGTGCTCTGTGATGCCTGAAGGTGGCAGGAGGTGACCACTGAACTACTCAGGTGAGGAAAGAAGAGTGATCTGATGAGGTATTGATGGATCAACCTGACCCAAGGTTCTGGAAAACTCAAGCAGAGTGTAACTGTGAAGATGGATAGGGTACAGCATGGCTGACTTTGTATCAGGGGAGAGACAGCTTGACCTTAGGGTTGAGGGCAAAGGATTCCAGTACCGATTAGGGTAATATCCAAGGGCTGAAGATTGTGAAACCACCAGGCAGACAAGAGAGGCACTGCAGCAGCTAGCAAGCAGTGTATGAAGGGAAGGATACGGAACTTCTATCAATGTGGACAGATCTTGGATTTCTGACACTTCAAGATACTGGACTCCAGCAACAGATAAACTCTTCTAGATGCTCAGTTCCAGGTTCATCATTTATATTCTGATGTTGAAAACTCAATATAGACGGAATGGGGATAGAATTAACTACATGCCATCTAAATTGGTTTATAGTCTACTAATTAAAGATATGGATCTGTAATTTATGAATGAATATACTGACACTTAGAAAAATAACTAATAACTTAGAAAAAATAGAGGTATTTCTATTAATATTTTAGTGTTAATATTAAAATTGAGAGCAGTAAGGATTACAAATTCAGAAAACATGAAATATCCATTCTTATTTAACAGAGTAACTGAGAACAATAAAAACACTCCTTGTGAAAATCACAACCCTTTTAAAAGCATGTCTAATAGCATGGTATCACTTGAACCATTTGTCAACAGGGCTACGTGAGTCAGTGAAAGCATTCTGGCAATGGCTGGAAATTTAACCAGTGCAGACATACAAGCTTTCTTCTCAGATCAAATCTGAAAATAGTAAGGGTGTCTAGAAGTTTACTTATCTTTGACTAGGCTAGAAGTATGCCCTCTAGAAGCAAAAGCTTCTAGAAAAACGGCCAGTGCTGTAAATAAATTTCATATCAGAATGCTTGTAAAATGCATTTGCTAGCATCTGTTCTTGATGTCATCTAGACAGATCACTTAAATATTAACTCAGACTCCGTGATCCTAAGAGTAGCATGACTACACCATTTCAATACTTAGAGGAGGACTAGGTTACTCTTTCAACAGGTCTATCCTTTCCTAGTTTTGACTGGTTAAGTTCATGTTCCAATCCAAATATTAGCAGACTCCTTAAAGAGCTTTACATACCACATTGTAACTAGAACTTATCACATTCTGTCTGAGCTCTTCAAAAGGTGGGAGTGTTTTCTTCAGAGGAAAGTGGAGGGGAGAAGAGGCAGACACCTCTCATTCATCTGCTTCGCCACTGTCACCTAGCAATGTGCCTGGCACACAGAAACTTCCTCAGCAAATGTGGAATGAGAGAATAAATCAGATGGTTCAGGAATTAGTGCATTTTCTGTGTTTTCATGCTTGTCATTTTTCTTTGGCTGTCTCTTATATTTGACAAATATCTATGTATTCTTTTAAACAGCTAACTACCTTTTTCAGGAAAGGAATTCTTCAGTTTCAATCTAGTGTCTCAGTATAACTGGATAACCTCATCCCACTCAGAAATAGGCCAGATTCCATTGGGCTGCACATTGGGGGGCGAGTGCTTCCAGTCCCACGTCTTCACAGGAATCTTCCAGGTCTTACCATAGTTGGCCTCAATGTAGTCAATGGTTTCACAAGGCACGTGTACCTTCATGTCTACAAATTCAGTCCAGCACAGTGTAAACTTGGGAAACAGGTATCTGCAGTAAACAGAGGCAGGGGGAGTTAGTTTTCAGCAGTGGAGGTTCTAGCTAAGGAAGCCAATTTCTAGTGCACCTTTAACTACAGACTTGTCCACTCTAGAGATAGATGTAGTGGACATTTTATTGTTTTTAACTATCCAGTATCCCTTTCCTCTTCTAATGTTAAGAGCACCCAGGACTTTTTTCTGAGAATCCTCCCTCTCTATTCACAGTCCATATGGTTCAGGAGGAGCTGACACCACGCCAAAGCTCCAGAGATGGGCAGAAAGATCGAGGCCTGCAAAGGAATAAAGTCAACATCAAATTTGCCAAATGATAGAGGAAAATGACAGGACAGTGAAAACCCTGGGCAAGTCTTTGAATTCAGCTGTGGTCACACCTTAAATATCTGTTAGATGAGCAAATACATATTCCTTTAACTACATTTCTAATATTTACAATACTTACTACATGGAGGGAGGCACATACAACAATGAGAAAAGAAACTGAACACTTCTAGTCAGCCAGATCACCTCAATCAATCTAGCCAATTTATGATATTCTTGGACAGCAATATTTTAAAAGCTCCTGACTTTGTGAAAGGTCATGTTATTTTCTGTGCCTGGGTTTCACTGTCAACCCAGATGACTATGCGTAACCTACTTAGAACAGATAGCTGAGAAAACCCCACAGCTATCCAGTACTTCTCAAACTCCTTTTCTACTTCATGGACTACTGTAGTGAGAATTTCATACCCGAACACATAACACAGTAGGATCCCCTAAGTCAGCTTCTGAGTAAAGAAAGCTTCATCTCCTTATCCCCACACAAGATGGAGACTACAGATCTAATGCCGGGATGTACCGTGTTTCCACAATACCTCTCCTTCCAGAGAACCATTACAACCACCTTCTTCCTGCTTGGCCTTTCATTTTACCATTTGCTCTTTTCCTCGCCCCCATCCTCAGGCCCAAAGTCATTTTTTACTTCCAACAGGTTACACTTTATTAAATCACCATCAAACCCAAACTGCTACAAAAAGATCCTAACTAGATATAACTAACATAAACAGCACATGGATAGTAAGATGAACCTCCTTGCCTCTCCTAACATGGATTTCCCAAGCATACAGAGCAAACGTGATTCCAAGACACAATCCATGAAGCCAGGCTGCATCCTGAGGCTTCTCCTTGGTTCCATATGTCATACGAACTTACTTTTCTGAAATTCTATAGTCATCTTAGATAACTACAGAATATCTATCTAGAAACCAGCCCAAGGAATATTACTTATAATGAACTTAACTGTATCTGTTGCAGAACTGTTTCAATTAATAGGTAAGTTTTGGAAATTAAACCAATACATGTTTCCTAAAAGTATTTTTGATCAAGTAAATGACTTTATTTTTAATGAAAGAAAACTAAAACTAGTACATCTGTTAGATTTATTTTATGTTTACATTATAGCCCTATATTCTATTTAAGAGTTTTCTGAGAAATCTTTCTTCTCTTCACAACACAGGAAGAACTTTTAGTGATGAGATATGAAGTGGCAATAGTAGTAGAGGTAATAGAATTTAAAATATCAGAGGAATAAAGGAAAAGAACCATGGAAAGCCAGCTGCCAAATTATAATCTTATTGTGCCTGATATCTAACTGGAATGTTCTCCAAGGAAAGGTCACCTCTCATATACTCTACTTTTGGATATTGTACGTTCAAAACCATTGGATGAACATAAAGCTATACACACAGAAATGAGAGGCTGAGCAAATTCTAAAGAAAGCAACAAGTCCTTCTACTCAAACCAAAGAGTGTTGGCAGTCAATGGACAATTCCAGCTGGCCTCTGAATAGGTGGCCAAGGCAAATCTCATCAGTGAGGAAGAAATAAGATACAGCCTAGCCCAACCATCTGCTGTTCCCAGTTTTATTCTGCACACTCATATTCATGGGGTTGCTTATTTTGTCACCAGACACACCATCCATCACTAGCCTCCAGCCTCGCCAGTGAGTTGCTGGTCAGCAGAACACCCACCTGTTCCATAAACAATTTGGAATGGTTGACACACTGAAGCTGAAATGAGGCAGAAATTATGGTCGAGCTAGGAGACTAGGTCAAGCTACTTTGCTTTCTCCCTCTTAAATATTAGCCTCTTATAATCCCGTCAAAAAGCAGAAAGAGAAAAAAAATCCGAGGTCCAGGATAAACAGGGTAGATGTCAAAATTACAAATTTTATGAAAGTTGTGTTTTAAACAATGAAGATTATATATGCGATAATTTTACTCAAATGCTAATTCTTGTTGCTCAACAAAAACACCCTGAAACTTTGTTTTGCTTTTCTCCAAATATTTCACTCAATGCATTCAGCAAAAAAGAAAATGTCAGTTTTCTAGAAGAGGAAAGATAAACAAGTCATAAAATGTGAAATCTGACAGTAAAATGGGATTGTGGAGAGAAAGAAGGGAGTGTGCAACAGAACAACACATGCCAAGAACTCCGTCCAGGTTACCAGCAACAATGACCAAAATGAAAACTCACCATGGGTCTGCCATGCTACCGTGGCTTAAAGCTATGGTTAAGTTCAGCTAAGGAGTTTGCACCTGGAGGTTCTGGGATAGAACCCAAAACGTGAAATTTAAATTCAGACTACGACAACCGTAAATCGGAGTATGAGTTTAAGGGCCCTATTTTAAGGCTCTATCACAGAAAATTTCTTTCAGTTCCATACCACTTTAATTCATTTTACTTTTTCATAAAAAGCCATCAGAACTGTTAGTAGGAGTAGATCATTTTCCTCACAGACATCTGTAAAATCTGTAGTTACTTACTGGTGGTAAGATAAACTAATCTTATTGGTTTATTTGTACAGTTCAGTTGATATATCTGACTTACAATTAACTGCACCTACGATCATATGTTTTCGGTTTGGGCGTTTTACTGTTAGTAATCCATATTACATACAACATCGCAGCACATAATTTGTTGATATCATCATTCTCCGATGTTCACGAGCAGATGTTCTAAGAGCGGATTAATAAATATACTGATAAGAAAGAGCAACAGTAGTGAAAACTTTAAAATAAGTATTCAATTTATGTCAGAATCTACTTAATACAACTGAGTAGTTGGAAAGGAACCCTCTTGCAAATTGGGGACTACCTGTACACCCTTTGATGAGAACTGTTAAATATAAAAGAAGCTCTTGAAGAGTTGTATAGTGGGTTACACATTGGGCTGCTAACTGCAAGGTCAGCAGTTCGACTCCACCTGCCACTCCATGGAAGAAAAATGAGGTTTTATGCTCCCAGGTAGATTTATAGCCTTGGAAACCTTGAACGTGTTTTTGGAGGAACTTCCTGGAAAACAGCACAATGATCCATTCCCATTACTAATTTTGTTTCTTCTTTTACTTTTTAAAATTTTTCTCCTGTTTCCCATAGCCTAGACCCTCTAGCATACTATTTAAAAGATGCAGGAAGAACACACATTCTTATATTTCTTCTGGTCTAATGGGAAACTTTAAAAAGTTTCACCAATAAAAATTCCTGCTCACTTTATTTAGATTTTTGGTATATCCCTTTTTTAGGTTAAAGATATGCCAAGTTTAGGTGCAATCCATAATGAAGGCTACAGTCTTTGATCTTCATCAGTAAGTGCTTCAAGTCCTCTTCACTTTTAGCAAGCAAGATTGCTAATGAGTCTTCTTCCAATCCAATTTCTCAGATTAGTTACTCAGCATAGAGACTGCATAAGTATGGTGCAAGGATATAACCCTGATGCACACATTTCCTGATTTTAAACCAAGCAGTACCCCCTTGTTCTGTTCAAACAACCGCCTCTTGATCTGTGTACAGCTTCCATTATGAGCACAGTTAAGTGTTTATGAATTCTTCACAATATTATCCATAATCTGGTATGATCCACACAGGCAAATGCCTTTGCACAGTCAATAAAACACAAGTAAACATCTTTCTGGTATTGTCTGATTTCAGCCAAGATTCATCTGACATAAGCAATGATATCCCTGTTTGCTGTCCTCTTGAATCCACCTTGAATTTCTGGTAGTTCCCTGTTGATGTACTGATACTACTGTTTTTTTAAAATTATTTTCAGGATAATTTTACTTGCATGTTCGATGATTTCACTTCATTGGATCACCGTTCATTAGAATGGGCACAGATACGGTTCTCTTCCAATCACATGGCTAGGTAGCGGTCTTCCTAATTTCTTGGCATAAACAGGAGGCACTTCCAATGTTACATCCATCTGCTGAAACATCTCAACTGGTATTCTGTCAATTCATGGAGGCATGTTTGTGCTAATGCCTTCACTACAGGTTGGATTTCTTCCTTCAGTACTATCATATGCTATCTCCTGACATGATTGAATGCCAACCAATTATTTTTGGAACAGTAAGTGAATCTGTATATTCCATCTTCTTTTGATATTTTCTGCATCATTCAATATTTTGCCCATAGAATCTCTGAATATTATAACTAGAGGCTTGAATATTTTTTCAGGTCTTTATACATATATAAGGGTGTTCAACAAGTTTGTAGGAAAACAGAACTACAAGATAATGGAGGAGTTCCAGGGTAATAGGGCAGAGAAGACAGATGCCCTGAGCAGACCGTCTGTAACAAGGACAAGGGAGACCAAGTGAAACAGATACAGATGGTAATTATGGAACCCTGATCATCAGAGGATAGGACAGAGAGGTGGACTGGGTACTGCTGAAAAAGAACAGCAAGAGGGGAGAAAAAATAGGCACTCTGCCAGCTTCCCCAGAGTGGTGACCATCCTGAACTTTTGCATTGATACAGCGATCTAGAGGCATAGGGCTAGGCTTGAGGTTAGTGACAAGGAGGGTGCAGTTTTCCTCTGTTCCCCTCACCTTCCTGGTAGCCAGGGGCCTGGCCAGTCCCCACCCTTACCAGCCCAGGGTCAGTGGGTTTCCCATCCTTTGTAGCCTCTGCTTTGCCTGGGGTCAGGCACAGGCATACCACCCCAGTACGA